TCTGGATGTTTAATATGTTTGAAGTCTATGTGTGCTWACTGTCAAGGGAGAAACTATACTGTCACAGTTGGGGAGGGCACCCTTAAGTAGTAGAAATCCTTTGAGAAAAACAAATGAGTTTAGCCCTACTCTACTAGCATTTTTCAAAAAGRAGTTCAAAAATTATTTTCACTTATCTTTTTGTAATGGAAAGAATTATTTTGCAAATGATTGTGAAAAGGGTTATTTCACTTTTTGGCACAACAATAATCCCAAAGCCTCTRCTCCTATCCTTCCCCCATTCAAAGTATTAAAAAGAACTGTAKCAATTTGTTAGTTTATTCGTATTCCAGTGCAAATTCRAGGCTACYTGTATTRGGTRCCTTTTGACTCAAGCTCGAGGCATTCTCTAGTTCAATTGTTTTATGAACCACATGGCTCTTCTTGGGCTTCACTCGCCTCATTTACTTCATCAACAGACACGGTCATACCAGTCCCTATGCCCTTAAATACACTCCAAAAACCCTTGGGACCCTTRGAACCAATACACACTTCACACTCTGTRACAGAACTTTACAACAGCAAAAGAACTTMCTTCTTTTCCTTTCAAAAGCTGATTTGTCACCACCAAAACACTTGAAGAAGACTGAACTTTGGCCTWAAACAACTTCAATTTTCCTCCAGCTGTTTTCWRATCAAAGTGGTTCTTTGCTTATTCTGCAATTACTTGTATTATTTCCAAACCTATCCATCATGGAATTTAGTGCCATGGCAGTAATAATTAGATGCATGCATTGCTCAATGGTCTCATAACAGGACCCATTTAATATTGTCTAGTTTCAGTAAAGTGTGTTTTTCTTAAGGTTGGATTTTTCCTACTCACAACCTGGAGGAAGAGGAGATTGCACTTTGACAGGACCCTACCCTTTGACCTGTTTGACATGGGAGGTCAAAACTGTCAGCTGTCATAGCAGTAAGGGTCATAGGGGCACTAGAAAAGCTCCACCATGATAATGTAGCAACCCCATTGGAGCTAATAAGTCCCATATAAACACAAAATGCACTCTAAATTCATTTTAACCATGTTATTATTATGTATACTTGTTTACAACATAGACACATGAAAAATAAGGTACAATATAATTATGCCAAATATTCTTAGCATGTTTGTTATAACTATTTTCCTTTTTTTGTGAAGAAAAAATACAATCTAAAAATCAGGACAATTTCTTGTAAACCATGGAGTGACTTGATGTGCCAATAAAACCTATTATTTTGATTGACCCCACTTGTCCTTAGAAACAAAGGGGTGAAACTTTATTTTCTATTTTCTAACTGCACTGAGCCTGATAGAAAATGTACTTGATCTTATAAATCACTGCAGCCACAAAACACTTCTTAGACAGCAAGATAGTGGTTCTTGACTGACACACAATAAACTTGATATTCAGACTTCATCCAATGTAACGGCACCATTACCATTAACTTGAMTACCTTACGCTCAATAAGTGAGCAATACTGTAATGAATAACTATCCTACAATGATAGTAACACACACATTCAATACAATGCTTAAAATTTGTACAGCATTATCAGTATTAAGAAAATTTGTACTTAACATGAGGTTAAGTAACAAAACTGTGACTATTGCTCGAAAACATCATAATCTTAGAAGTTGGTGGTAGTCGGTTTTTCAAATTCACAACTCATCATGCTTCAGTTAAGTAAAATAAATTAGAAAAGAAACCCTGAAACATACAGTATGCCATATTATTAATAATATTATAGTTACATAAAACCTTATCAATTTATACATCCTGGCACAATATGATCCAAATTAATCTATTTTCAAATCAATAAAAATGACAACTTTAATCTAAAATATGTAAAACTTTAATCTTAAAATATWCCGATTTAAAAAATAGCAGACTTATTTAATGAACGATTGTTCCAATTTGAGTAGCTTTTTGTATTTTGGCATTAGCAATAGGCTAGTCAGTATAAAACAACAAGTATGTAAATTGTCTGCCATTTTTTGAATTGGCTTAATGCATGTCTATTAATCTATGTCTATTAATTTATGTCTTTTAATCTTTAGGTGAAAAAGTATTTGTCAATTCTCATGTTATTCAATGTCATTGTACTTTATTTGTACTAATTTTCACAGGTCTTTAAAAAAGTTTACACACGACACTCATACATTAGAAGCACTTATTTGTCAAAAAATTTATGCAAAATATGCTTGATTTGATTTTTCAAAATTAATTGCCTGCAAAAATAGTACAAATAAGGTTATAGATAAACGAGAGCTAACTGACAAAATTAAGAAAACTAAAAGTGCTCAGGGTAGACTAAAAATCTAACGATAGGCCTTTTTTCTATGAAATGCACAGAACATGGCTACAATACAGAAAAGTAGTTTTTGCACAAATTATAGCCCACTTTTGATATCCTGGTTGACTGGTCATACACAAAGGGGGAAACGATAGTTAATCCTTTTAAGCATGAGCCTCGTCTTCAGGTTTTTGTTTTGCTTTGTTTTTTCGCATGACTATTTCACATATGGAAATCAATAATGGGTTATTGTATGGAATCCATTCTATTGCTGCAGTTACACTGAGATCATTTTTTCATAGGGTCAATTTCTTGAGGTCTCGAAATATTTTCCGATAATGCAAATAGATACCCTGCCAAATAATGTCAAAATGACTATAGCTGGCATTTTCTGTGCCAATCAGAAAACTTGTTTAGAAAAAAACAAAATTAAAAAACCTAGTGTAAAATTAGCCTCCTTAGCAGACTGCTCCAGCAGAAACAGACTTTTTTGTATTTTGGTGTTCCCGTGTTGAAAACCCCTTTGGCACAGGAATCCCATGGAGTAGAGTTGTTTGGCAAGGAGGCTAGTGCAATAGCAACTAATGATTCCCTTACCATTATAAGGCATTATAAGATCTTAAGAAATTAGTTTTAAATAGATATAATTATACCATATAATAATTATAAATATCTTAATATATAATTATTATATATCATAAATATATGTACTAATCTTGAACTAGAAAACATGATGGAACATAAATCCATTCAACTAATGTAATCTGTCTAGAACTTGGAATCATCATGTTCTAGCTATCTTGCAGTCAAGAACATTTTGATATTGTCAATTAGATTGTACATAGTACCATTATAACAAGATACTGTACTTAAGATGGCATCTTCTGGTTCATTAATTTCCAATACCTTGAAGCAAATAACCCCTTGCCCTTAATACTTTTTGTCAGTAGGCTGCCCATTACTGCACCATTAGGCAACTGTGCGGCACCCCCATTTCGTCCAATAGGAACAACCATTATAGSATTTGGCAACTTGTACTCCTTCAACTTTTTACCTTCATTTAACTGCTTGATGTTGAAGGCTACTAGTTCTGCAAAAATCCATATAGGTAAGATGAGCTAGTGATTGTCTCTGTGAGAATTATGAAAGTGGGAGAGAATTAATAGGCTGGGGAATGGTAATGAAAGAGAACGATCATTATAAGGAGGAAGAGGGGGGGGGGAGAACAGGGAGGAAAGCAACTGTCTTGAAACTGTGCTTAAGCTACTTATTTWTCTTATTTTCATGATACACAAACAGTGAAAGYRAATCTTCACACCTCCATGSGCACCAGCTGCATAGGCTAGTTTTAATTCATCTGTGTTACTGCAGTCTCCAATGGCAAAGACTTCATTCATTTCCTCAACTTGTAAATATTGGTTAACCTTCAATGTGCCTGTATTGTGGTCCATTTTGTCAGATAGTTTAGAGCGATAAGCATCTGCATTGACCTTCAYTCCTGTYCATCTGAACACAATATCTGCCTCAATGGATGTTCCTTTATCAGTGCTCAGAGTTACTGGACCGCTGACCCATGGCTTTTGATCACCAAACTACACACAATACATACAATTTATTAATCAGATCACTCTCCCCCCCCTGTAGGTAATGCTTGCCCTGTAGGTAATGCTTGCTAACATGCACATTACAGTTGCCTGTCTCTAAGTGTACAGTATGCAAAGGTGTAACTTTGTTGAAGTTGTGTGCTTATCTAAGGTGTATGTTAACTGGAAATGGCCGCAATCTTGAGCCCAAAATCTTCACTGACTTCTGCTGGAAGGCAAATGGTAAGGACTATGGGTACAAGATTGTAATGGCTGAGATAAGAATAGCACGTATATAATCTGAAGTAAAGACAATGCTTTTTAAATGACTTGAAAATCTAAGCTTACATACTTTACAAAACACTTACATCTAAGTCATCAAGGATAACTTTCTCTCCAAGAATAGTATTAATTTTCAATGCCTTCACACCATTGTGGATCTTTTTAAGAAATTTGGCAGACATCCTATCATCAATTAAACGATCCCTGGAGTGCACAATTGTTACTTGTTTATTTGGATAATCTGTTGCAATTTCTCCTGCTAATTCAACACCCACAGGACCTCCACCAATAACGACAATTTTGTTACTCTTTTCAACCTGATATCAACAAAACACAAAAATCATTAATACCACAAAGAAAGTTCTTCATCTGATTAACTTAAGCATTGCTTTGGAATATGATGCTATGGTACTGTACACTATGGTTAGTCAAGATACCCAGGTCTCAGTAGAATAGRATAATATCTAGCCAACAAAATGATTATACCTAGTGCCCCTAAAGAGTCAAAGTCACTGGCCAGYGCATTAACAGTCAAATTTGTAGACAGTTCCTGGGTCTTGGGACAGTTAGTTGACAGAGATCTCAGCTACATGTACAGTATTCACACATTCTTTGTCAGCAATTTTATTAACTTAACAAAGCAGACAATGAATATGAAAATACTCAATGATTTTTGTACTGTAAAGGAAGATACACTCTTGTGTTATAAAATTCTAATTATTTACCTCTTGTGCTATCTCTTGATATATTTTAAATGCATCATCTTTGGACATCCCAAGTGGAACTTTACCTAACATAGAACAAAAAAGAGATCTAATATGGTATCAAATTCCACCACTAAAATAAAAACATTTAGTTAAGGCCATCACCTTTCCACAACAGACTACAAGGCTAGGCTTACATCAAAAAATACATTCATTTTAGTTTGCAGAATAAACTTTGAACCAAAGTCAGAATACATGTATGCAGCCCTTTACYCCACCTTTTCCTAACTGTTATTAAAGATTGCCGCAGCATTTACCTGGAAAAGGCACAGATGAACCACATGCAAAGACCAGATAATCATATTCTAGCTCCTGTCCATTAGACAAAGTCACTTTTTTCAGAGACAAATGGACGCTTACACACTTTGCTTGTATGAAGGTGCCATTAGCAAGAGAATTTTCATAAGGAATCCATGTCTTCTTGATGAATGATGGCTCCACAACACTGCGCAGTGATCCAACAGCATGGTGGAATGCATCCTTTGGATCAATCAGTGTAACTTGGCAGTACTTGTCCAAGTGGGAGGCAGCAGTAACACCAGCATACCCTCCACCGACAATAACCACATGGAACTGGTATCTGGGCTTAGATGTAGATGTTCCCATCACATCACACGACTGCAACACCAAGCCTACAAAAATACACAGCACATATCAAAATAAATGCCAAAAATTACCAATTCTTAATGAAAAGTACTGACTATTTGAGACAAGATCAGTTCAATAAAGGTAAGTTATTGTTGCCTTTTAGTTTCAATTTGCCTTTTATAAGAATATTTGAGGTTGAATAATGTGACCACAAAATGAATATTTAAAACTGTTTTAAATTGTGACAATTTTTGTGTTTTACARTGACTTTTTTATCCTTTTGAATTGTAATAAAGGTCAGTATGGGAAGATATTATTTTCCATTCAATTATGTCCCCAGCTGATGTACATATAGTTTTAATTGGACAAGATGGATATAAGGCAACACCCTTCTGTCAAATATACGTTTGGTTTTAACCTCTTCATGTTGTCAACCAAAATTGATCTATTCCTTCAAGCCTTGACTGATTTACATTAAACACATCATCAGATGTATCACTTTAACATGCACTTCTAGTTCAACTGATAAAGCTTTTTTTAATTTACTATGGTATATGAAAATAGACTCGGAAGAACTAAAAAGTATGGTGTATATACATACTGCCTTGCAGTTTTAAAACAGTATTCATTTGAATTTTAATGTTTGACATCTTCTAYATTGCAGATCAAATGACTGCCATACTAACAGTCTAGACAACTGTTTGCATAATATGGACATTAATTATCAATGTGGRATCCCTAATAGAAATACTTTTTCTTGCTGTCTATATCATTATGGTTTTAAAACAAGTTGGTTGAGGAAGAGTTTGTACGAGTGGATAGTCCATAAATCTAAATACCTTCTGATAGTAGTTAATTACCATTAAATGACTATTTTAGGAAATCAAAGTTGTAACAAGATACTGTTTTCTTGGTAGCAATTAGCAAAAAAAAAAAAAATGAAAATGAAAATTACTACTTGGGAAAAGAAAAGTAAGACTTAAATAACACAAAAATAATATCATGACATTAACTATTTTAACTGTTAGTTTGTGCATAGTAGGTATGACAGCAATCAAAGAATCTCAATGAATCCAAATGTCTGCAAATGTTTGTTTGGTTGATTTTTTTAAACATTAATTAAAAAATCACAAAATGAGATCAACTCCTTGAGTTTGTAGTGGATTGTGATGCTGATCTATTTCATATGCAAAACACTCTTATTTATGTTATGTCCTTAGGATATAGATTATAAGACCTAATATCTTTAATGGATACAAATCACTGTAATTATTGTCAAAGGAACACTTATTTACACATCTAGGAATTGAAGATATTTCATAAATTGACTGATAATAACAGAACTTTGGAGTCTCAATCACTCAAGCTCAAAGATTTAGCTTTAGAAATGATAAGATATCTACCTATCTTTTTTAGCATGACTTATTCCAGACTAACAAAGTTGACATATTAAAGACACTATAGCAACAATGTCAATAAAAGCTTTTATGATATAACTATGCTACATTTTATTTCACCACTAAAGGTTTTGAGACAGAGAGAATATAGTTATTGAATTTTTAATTGTWTACGAGTAGATAGGTGTTAAGAATGTGATAAACAACAGCAACAACAACAATGCTTATCACTATATTTACACTAACACTATCAGCTCCTAAAGCTGCTGGATTTACTTTTTCCAGTTGTCATTCTTTTGTCATACATACTCAAAGAAATTGAGAGTCACTTGGGATCTCAAAATGGAAAGACTATTTCTGATCTTTTTTTGAATCTAATATTGTTGTAAGAGCTATTGTCAKTTACACATGCAGTGACACAATCTCATCTAAAAATAGTAAAAAAAATACTTAACGTYTAAGTATGGAACAACGAATGTCACTTCAGCTTCTCCACAAGGAACTACATTGTAGAGAGATTGTATATATATAAAATATCTTTTACATCTTTTATTGGTTCAGGACTCTGGAACCTTTTTAGCAGACACTTGAGAAAGCCAGTTATGATTTCCAAATGCGGTTTTTATAGCTTAATAATGGAATAAGAAGACAAATTTATACAGCAAGAAGCAAAGAGTATTAGGACTAGAATGCATACATGATTGATTCTATCATTCTTATCGGAGAAACAAGCCCTCAAAATCCTCGCTATCACCCTCGATACTTCACTTGCGATGGTAAATCGACATTGAACTCGACGAATTTATGATTTATCTTTAGTTTTTACATTGGGAGCTCTTCAACAACCAACGTTTAGAAGCATCAACAAGTAATTACTTATAACGACCAACCTTAAAATAATAGTGCAACATTATTACAATTCAAGGTGCATCAACTACATTTAATTTTTCGACATRTCGTGCACTGTCATTCTGACAGCCCCAACATCACCTATGTACCAATCAAACTGCTAAAAATATCTGTATAATATCTGAAATGACGCAAAAATAACACACGTTTAGAGACGACAAAATAGAAAAAAGAAAACACAGGTAACATTAATTGTCGGGTTTACACACACACCCAAAGGGCGAAGTCGAAATGCGATCCCCGATCTCGATTCCTACATCTTCCAACAAGGGTAGCTAAAATTTCGTCCACCCAGAGTATAAAGTGGCTTAGTAGAGTGCTGTAGATATTAATGTAAACAAAAGGTACAAAATCGCACCGGCTCGACATTACGTCTGGTTTGTATTATTACGTATAATTAGAGTTTTTTCAAGTTGGAAAATTTCGAACCTTCGCACGATTTCAATGGAAGAAAACTCGTTTTCAGACTCTTTAACAATCAAACCTGTGTTGAGAAATATTTTTAAATGGTCGAATAAAGTCCGTGTCATAGAAAAAAGGAGACAAAATAGTTGATAATCCTCGTGGCACTCCAAAATCAGGAACGGTTTTGACAAGCCGTCGTTCGGACGACGAGTTCAGCGCGAAGAGTGAGAGATCACGGATCGAAAAACCTTTACCGTTCGAATAAAATCAATCATTTCTAGTAAACTTAGAGATCTAAAGMTCCTACAGCCGTTTTCAGGCACTTCCCTACCTGCGGGAGAGAATAATCTTCCGGCCTTACGACTCTTCTCACATAAACACTGTAGTGAAAAAGAACCACCCGAGCCTGCTGTATTTACCGGTAGCCGTCAATCACAATGCGCATGTGCAGATTACATTCTTCTCAAATCCAAAATGGCGGACGAGCGAGTGTTTGGCGACACAGAGATTTGAAAGCTTGCTMTTACGAAAAGAATTGGTTGTTGTGGTAAGTTGAGTTAATATATTCCTGGGTATTTTTAATTTCTACAATGATGTGYAATTMCGATGGAGTGGGATGTTTTTTATTCATGGTTTTGGAGCATTTTAACTTGTCGACGGATTGTTGTAAGCTAATTYKCAGCGCGCGAAATCGTTTTGCCGTGATGGGTTTGTTCGTTGTTTCATTTGATTATGTCTAGTTTCCTTCTCTAAATTYTGCAATTTACTCTTTCAATGGGCGAGCACTCTTCACTGGCGATTCTCCATAATGGTTAGGATTTCAATTTTTTGAAAAATTTCGACAAGAAAGACAGGATTATGTTCATGTATACAAAATYTGCAATCTTTGTTTACCGACCCCTACTCTTTTCACGAAACACACCCACAGTTACTCTCAAACTTCACTYTACCTAGTTAGAAACTACACGAAGAAAAATCATGGTAGCATTACTAATTTACCTCATTATATAAAAATACTTAATGTTTTGTTTCGGGCACGAGATTTACCGGATTTTAGTCTAAGAATGCGAATTAAGAAAGTACAGTTGTAATAACTAACAGCCAAAAAATAGATAACTAACAATGCGATTTTATGGCTTTAAAWTGAAGTAAATAAATTGATTTAGTAAATAAAGTCTTAAAAAAACCTGTGAGGGTGAAAAGAAATTACAAATAAATAACAACTTGTACTGAGTTGTAAAAGCGTTTATAACGTAATTTTGAAATAAAAGTTTCTAGTCTGTTTTTTG